TGTATTCACCACATGCGTTGAAGCTCAATATTGAAAGATAATATTGAATTAAAAGACAAAAGCTAATAATGATGATGAAATATTTGTTACATCCTAGCTGAGTACAGAACTGTTCCACATAACGCAAACACAGATATTTTTGGAAAGAAAATTGTATGTTACGATTCTGTCTCAAATTAGAGGTTCGAAAGTTGAAGCAAAAAGTAGTGCATTACCCCTCTTTTCCAGCAACAGATGCGTTGGTAAAGTCGAAGACTTTTCCTGAGAGCACGGCAAATACACAAGAAATCGTGGTAGACGCATTTTCTGAAAAATCGAATGGTTTTATTTAAATATAGAGGTTAAATGCAGTTAAATTTAGTCAGACGAGTGCGAATTCCCTTGTAAAAGATTTTTTTTTTAATGGAACAAGAAGGTGACATTAGATTATAAAATCATATATTAGAATAATAACAATACAACAGTAAACAACAGTATGAATTCAACAAAAAATAATGAAATACCTGTACAGACGGTTTTAGGTTTTGTTTTAATAAAGAATCAACACTTTTACAAATCAGTCCTCTGCGCATGCACATAATTAACATTTTTAAAGACCCTTAATTTTAAATTTAGATTAAGCCTAAAATAATAAAAACACTATCTTTTTCCTGGCACCAACGTAGACATTAATTTATCAGCTTTCTACTCTTTCTCCAATCTACCAATCATCTATCAACAATTGTGCTAGATTTAGTTGGATTTCTTTCATCTTTTTCTTTCTCCAATGAACGGCCAATTATTGACCATTCTGAACTGCTATGCAGTTATCATTCTCCAAGATTGCGGTGAGATTTATAGACCCTTTAGATCCGGGCTAATGTATAACTCCCCAGTACAACCCATCATGTGGGGAGTGTTTTTAAAATGAAAAGCTGTGTGTGATACGAATGCACTACCTCTGTAGGATGCTGTTCAGTGATCTCAGAAATGAACGAAGTCATGTCATCATAAATAAATCAAGGGCCGGTTGCTCACGAACCGTCAGATTCGTTGCGTTAATTATTACCTGCCCTAATCAAACCAGTGATTATTGACGCAGCACACACGTCAATGATTCATGATAATGCTTAAACTGTTACATTTCGCATTAACTTTATCTTAAATACCATTATATCATGGTGCGTCAAAGGCCGCATCAGTCGTTGACCCATTCCTGCGTCAGCAATTGACGCCTTGTGTGTCTTACGGCAGACTAGTTATGATAGTGTTATTTCCCTTACCTGAGATGATAGAAGACAATGGGATGTCAACAGCAAGAGCTCGACGGCCAGCACCAAATTCTTTTTTTACCTGTTCTTCATCTCTGTCAAAAACTTGAGCTTGAATTACTACCAAAGATATAAAGAAGAAAAAATATTAACTAACGAAAAACATTGACAAGGAAATGTCATGAAACAACACACTGTGTTTCACCGCAAACATGCATCCGTTAGAGAAATAAAAAGACGGATGAAGCTCAAAATCGTTTTCAAAATTTATTCTCAACTACATCATGCAATGATAATGGTAATTCAAAATAGAATCGCATCTTAACCAAACGAATAACATGTACATTGTTTAATAAAAGACCTACGATCTGGCCTAACTACAGTATGATTTGAAATCAGAAATACCAACTAGTCTGCTAACGTCATGAATTTCAGATCTCTCACGCTAGATCCAAGGCGACAAACATGATATTTAGTTTCCAGTCATGTTGTCAACAAAGTTATTCCAAAAATTGTTAAAAGATCTTTCGGCCTTATTTTAAAATATTGACGTTAATCCTCTTGGTTATTATTCTCTGGCATTGTATAACCATCAATGATAATGGATATTCAACTTACTAATGCCTTCTCGCTCAAATATGAAGGGGTGGGTGTCAAGATTAGAACGCCAAAGAACAGATAGACTCTCAGCGACCTGCTTGAACTTTTCCTGTTTTACCTCGTTTGTGATGACAGAAGACGCGTCATTCCCGTCTAGGACAGAATCCAACATCTTGTTTAGGGTGTCCTTTTGCTGCAAATAAATGAAAATTGTAAACCTTCTTACAGTAGCGAAACCAGGTCTTGATTAACTGGGGATTTAATCCGCCCAATTTAAGGAGAGGTGGAATCATTTGTACAGCGCCATGAGCTTATTACAAGTTGCATTGATTTTGTGTTTGGGGGAGGGGTTCCTGGGTCTGGGCGGGGGCTATATACTGGTTACGCCATATATTATATTAAAGAAAGTCAATAGTACTGGGCCAGAAGGGATGAGACCACTCAGCCAGGTCGATGACAGGTGGATATCTCATCAACTCAGCTCTCAACTAACATACGAAAGAGAGGATCATGGGGGACCAACAGGCACCGATTGAGGAAGTTTTCTATATAGAGGGAGCAAGTAGCTACACGTAGGACAGTGGGGCTTTAAAATAGGAAACAAAACAAAAAAGCTCAAGACATACTTTCGGCAATAAAAGATGACGCAGTCTTTGATGCACTAAAGGTAATATATGGCATCGTCCGAATAATGAAGAGAATGCAATCATAGAACGCAAACGGTAATAACGCAATTGAAAAATACGCCCTGTGTGCAACAAGCGTTAGATCAAGTTTACACTTACCAAATCAGCCACATCAGATTGAGTCGGATTTGTACGAGGTGTAGGTGTAGGAACTGGGCATTCAGTCTCATCTGAAATTGATATAGTCAAGTGGATAGCATCATCGGATACGGAGTATTAGAATCTCTTTATTTCTACCTTTTTCACTGGTAAAAGAAAAGGCTACTTTCTATTTTCTCTGTCTCTTTCTGTCTTCTCTTCCTGCCTATTGATTTATCTCTCTCTCTCTCTCTCTCTCTAGCTCCATTCCTTTCGCTCTCTCTCTCTATCTCTCTTTTGAGTTACGACTAAATATAAAACTTCATTTGTACGTAAGAATTTCAAAGCAAGCAGCATGACCAGTACATAATGATATACTGTAGGCCTAACTATATATTCAGGGACCATAGTAATTAATTACCAAAATCTTCTATTGTTGTGGTCTCCAATCAGTAAAATGTTAATACATGTACCTTCTTAGTTCCATTCACATTTCTTGGAAATGAAAATATATAGCATCGTTCATTCGTTCACTTATTATCATAACTGAGGGGGTGTTCCATAAAGAAGTTACGCATGACTTTACGAATGATTTAAATATGAAAAGCCAAATGGGATGCTCAATCATTATTAACTGCAGCAACTAAAGTTGGACTGTGCAGATGTAGATTAACATTCTTATTATAACAAACATTTTTAATGCAAAGTATATTTTTTGCCATAATTTAATTGAGTTTATTGGAAATATAGTCACACTTTGTTAAAACATCACGAAAAACTTTGGGCATCCTATCTGGCACTTCATATACAAGTCGTTCGTAAAGTCATGCGTTACTTTACGATCACCTTTATGAGACACCCCCTGGACTTACTTTGGCAGGTAACTATATCGCAGAAACTGTTATTAGAACTAATGTATGAAACATTGTTTGCGGATTTCCGTTCCAGATATAGTGTGGTGCAGAAGTTTAATGTGCCACCCGCACACACCAAAGGGCAACGTTGGAGCGAACACGAATGGTAAACACTTAGATCGATTTTATCCAGAGACTGGTTGGCAGAAGATCCATCATTAGTCAAGTTGAAAGTCATGTCTCGAGGACACAGATAACTTGTCCCATTATGACGGTATTCCATGGAAAGATGGAATTCATCAAGGCTGGTCAGATTCCAATTGAAGTGTGAAGTTATGTTGATTGTGACGTTATTCACAGCGTTTTCAGATATAACCGATGTTGATGTGGATACATTTGTGCTTTTAAGAGGACCTAAAACATAAGTAAATGAAACATGAAAGATGATGAGAAAAAGAAAATACTTAATGTAAATGCTGGATCTAGCTGTAAAAAGAACCTACGACTGTTTTGTTATAGGCGATGGACAGTCGTGCGACTACTGATTTGATTGTGCTTAAAACCCCATCAGGATTATGTTTTCCTCTTTATAACATGTAATATTTTCGCACTTCGATCTCAGGGGTATCTCCCTGAACGGCGAATGCTTATGAATGAAGCAAATGTTGGCAGTTGGCGACTGTTAGCGACAGTTTTTGCGAAGATTAGCAACGATTTTCCATCCTTTGCCACTATTTGTGAATGTTTGGGACGTTTAACGAACCTTGGCGAAACCCTAAATCCGCTACATTCGCAAGCATTCGCCGCTCAGTGAGATACCCCATTTAGCAATTATTGGACCAAGTAAAGAAATATACAAACAAATATAATGTAGGGTTATTTACCAATGTCTACAAATTGTATGTCTAAAAACTGTATATTTTTGCTTTGAGATTTCCCTTTGTAAATGCCCCTTTTTTGTGGAAACTGCCCTTATTTGTTGGTGCCCCCCTCACTATGGAAAACGCTTCGCCGCCCCTAGTTGTTGTTGTTTGCATTACATATATTCTAATATGAGGAAACAAATACAGTTTGATATGGGTAAATTCGAAAGATTTAAAGCATTCAATTAATCACGAAGTACCAAATGTCGTACTTACTCAGACATTTAATGTTATCACACTTCTGACCAGTCGATGTTGCATCATGGCTGACGGGAAGTCCAGTGGCACCAATTTGTGCAAATGCCTCTACACAAAATCGCATGCCATTTCCGCATGTCGGACCGCCTTTCAAATCAATGTCCATGATGTTGTTCTCTAAATGTTCAAGATGGTCTTTTGATATCTTTAGTGCTAAATTTCCAGATGTCCTTGGGAATGTCCACTCTTGTTCTGCGTCCATGACCCTATTGAGGATGAGCCTGGCTTTGAGTACGATTTTAAGGTCCACGATGTCTGGCGAGATATTTCGAAGAAATTTCACTTTCACATCAAAGGTAATGTTATTAGGTTCTCCTTCTCTAATAGAGTCAGTTCTTAGATCAAGAGATTCTATACGAATCGAATCTGCAAGAAAAGAGGGTATTAAGAGAATAATTGTTTTAAACTTAACATTTGAATCATTCCGCTTAATTTGGGATTGATCAAGACCTACCGCAGTATAGAGTTTTTAGATGTTTAAACGATATCATTAATACATCAATCGTATTTTGAAATAAATCCAAAACTGAAAATAAAAATGTGAACTCACGTTTAAGTTTGGCATCTCCATAGACTTCAAACCTCATGGCCGGGTAGTTATGCCATTCGTCAATATAAATCCGAATGAAACGACATAAAGTGACCGGATGAATTAAGTTAAAGCGGGTGATATCTGAATTGGAATTTGCCCGGAATATCTGTAAGTAAGAAGAAGTGACTTATTTCATACAGTTGTTATATTGCATACACTGTACATGCAGGCCTGCATACATAAGTTCAAATTCAGAGTTACATTTATTTTCTTCCATTTTTATTTCATATTAATAGAATATGTCTATTAAACCCATAACAATGAAGCCATCAATTATTCATGGAAGTAATAATGAGTAAAAACATATGCGTACATCATTTCGAAAATGATAATCTCATCGCTCCCGCTACATGGAAGATACCTATTATGTACTATATAATAGAAGCACAGTGGTTTATTAGTGAAGGCTCTTGACTCTCATACGAAAGGACCTTGGTTCAATCCTTGCTCAGTGATTACATCCTTGGACAAGGTGTGTTGCCTGCGTTTGTTCCTCTTCACCCAAGTTTATTAAATGGATACCTGACGATGATTGGCTATTAATTATTGCAGGCTATCCTCGGTGAATAAGACTCAAATGTATAAACATTATATATCATAATATCGTGCATCAAAAATGGGTTTTTATTGGTTGAGCGCTTTTCACGTGACCAGAAATATTTCAACTATTTTATGGTTGCTCTGAAAGAGTACTACTTGGGAGTACTGTTTTGGAGTAAAAATACTATTTGGAAGTACTGAGAGTTGTTATAATAAACTTTTTTTTTTAAGTAAATTTTTTTCATGCAGGATATAAAACAAATATACCCTGCCTTCTTTTCGAGGTACTGGTTAAAACTATGCGCCTCGGTGACTTCAATAAGACTATTGGAGTCACCTCTTGCCTGTAGTTTTAAACCAGAACCTCTCAAGACAGTATATATTTTTAAACTATCCCAGTAGTTAAACAAAAATAATGAAGGCTATATGCTATTGAATAACTGATTACTTACCACCCAACATCTCACCCTCACCCCATCATCCTCTTACAAGAAAAATCCTATCTAATCGACATTCATTATAAGCGTCCTTAGCAGAGTATGTTATGCATATTTTGATATCCTTTTCTATCCATGGATACGCCACTGACATTCTTATAGGTAACTCACTTCCGAATCATTTTGTGCAGAAATATTGTTGATCGTTACGTTGTTTTCACCACAGCCGACCACATACGATGTAACCCAGCCATCTTTGTGATTTCCATATCCCCCTTGCGTTCCTATGCCAACGATGTTGTTAGGGTATGAGAGATCGACCTGCGAGAGAATAAAAATGCTGGTATTAGCATAGTTATTAATTGAGAAAGGCTTATAAACGTTCGTATTCTGATCATTTGAGAAAGACAATTTATGAAAATGGACCTACAGTTCATGGATATTGAGAGAGACAGAAAATAATTGTTTGAGTCTGAACCAATAAAGATGGAACCAAATGGGATCCTTGAAACTGAATCCTGCGTCATTATTGCTAGGCTCGTTACATAATTATAATTATATATTAATTTTTTTTTTTTTTTAATTGGTTTGATTTGTTTGTTTGTCTTTTTCTACTGACCTGAATCCACGAATGCTCATCTTCTTTGGGTCGCCATGAAAAGTTCTTGTTCAAACGGCCATGTGCAGCCCTCGTGTATGTGTTGTACTCGCTGCTTGCTGTGATAGCAGAATCGGTTATCCTCCCAGACTTCATACCAAGAGCAAAGATCTTCCTACCTAGCATACCTGTATTATGACGGCAGTGAAGCAATTAATGATTAAGCACAAACAAAGAAACATCAATATATACAGTTTCATTGGGTAAATATTCAAATTCAAAGATAACATGGTGCAATCCGATCCATTTTTACTCACAGAAAAAAGAGTGACAGGGGCATACAAAGATTGATAATACATTCTAACTTGAAACGGAATGTGGAATGAAAGATCAAGTCAGGATAATTAAGATGAGGGAAGAAAATAACCGTTGAGTTAATAACAAAAGTTTGCAAAAGGCGGAGAGGTAAGGCCTCGCTCTGGAGGTGATACGATTTGTTTAGTCATCTAACAGTTTTGTGAAGTGATGTTACCCTCCTCGATCACCTTCGAAACAAAAAAGCAGGACTTTAGATAGTCATCTTAAAATCTATACTAATACTTGTAATATACTGTTTTGATAGAAATTGATGAGAAAAACTTGGGCAGGTCCAGGTACCATATTAGCCCCACACCCCCGAAAAAGTGCTCCTGTATTCTAAACCCTCCAGCACAAACACAAACACACACACACGCACGCACCCGTGTCGTACGACTCTGGGGTGGCTGTCGTATTGAATGGCGTAAAAAGAGGTAATAGGTGTGGAGCATCAAAGGCATTTGGTGGTTGGGGTCTTGGGGATATGGTTTGAGGCTTTGCTCTACGATAAATATGACTATTTCTCATCCGAAATATCTTCTTTTTTAAGGGGGTCAACAAACCCTAGAGAAGTGTCTCCACAATTTTGAGAAACACTTGGTGGCTCCGCTCCTAATTCCCCTTGCCTTTTTTAGAACCCGTTTATAACCTTGATTTCTCTGGGGATCATCATGTCTGGGAAAGAAAAAAAAATGTTTCGCTCTCCCCCCCCCCCCCCTTCCCCTTGACTACCTTGGATCCGTTTCTTATGAGAATAAGGGTGAGATTACTTCCTTTTGAATCATGCATTTTACCTTTTCCTTAATGAGATCATTTTAACATGCACTCACTTACCTCCTGATATAGCAGAATTATTACACGCAGGGTCAAAAGATCCGACAGCGCAATACTCCAGTTGATTCGCATTACCAATGGTGAAGCACCAAGTAGTGAGTTCGAGTCCACCTGGGTTTCTGCAATAGTTGTGGTCCAATGTCTCATCGGCTAAGTTCCCGTTGTACAGAAACGAGGGCCAGTTTTGCCAGCGTGTGCTCCATGTTTGACAGGTAAAGCCTGAGCTCGTCTGCGATAGGTATCCCCTGTAGTTGATTCCCGTTGGATCACTTTCGCAATCACATGTTGCTATTAAAGTAAATAAAAATACGAAGCTGTCACATAAAACTTTATATTCCTAATCCATCCTTATTATGTGATGCCTTTAAATCACATGTAAATCTTTGTTTTAAAAAGGAAGTCCACTATGATATTAATTTGGTTATAATAGAATTAGAAAAACTAGATGAAAGGGGGTCAGTGGAAGTTTGAGCAAATTCCGACAAAAAATACAAAAGTTACTCTCTAAAAAATATCGAGTGATCACGGACGTCACTCCTCTGGAGAGTGAAAATGTAGTGAAAATAGAGTGAACATTCACTCTTTTCTTCTTAGAGAGCACTCTAAAATCAATCGATTTTCACTCCTAAACAAGTGATCACGGACGTCACTCCCAAGAAAGTGAAAATAGAGTGAAAATTCACTCTTTTTTTTAAAGAGAGTATGAATTTCCGAAGTTGCGATCAATTAAACACAAATTGGTAACACTGTCTGTGACGTATGTTGCGATTTCCTTTACAATTTACTCTGTACAAACAAGGTTAAACTTCAACTTTTTCGTTATTGATGACGGAATATATCCATACAGGAGTTGTATAGAAACAAATTCGCAATAAATATGTTTAGGATGCACGTATAACTTCGTACTTGTTGCGCACGAAGCATCATTTTGATTACGCTATTTGTTTTTTAAGATTCTTTTTATTGCTAACATTACAAGATTTATACCATTACAAGACAAGATATCATGACAAAAACAGTCGTAATCATATATGTGAACATTATAAGTATGCATAATTATTACCTGCGCTAATTGAGCTCGTAAATGCAAAGAGCACATACAGTAGTTATTCAAAGCAAGGTTTGAAGTGTTCCGTTTGCTTCCACTTGTTTACTGTTTTCACTGTCACATCAGATCATCCCTTTTCTGACGCAGTCATTGTCAACAAAATGACGCATCGTATTAAAAAAAACCCAACTTTTGTTATTTCTTCTTGTCTCATCATGTCTTAGGAAGTGCACTAGTAATTATAAATTTGTAATAAGCATTGTTTATTCTTACCACTTTGATTGGTGTTGGTCTCTCTAGAACTGGATCCAGTCTGTAGATTATCATGGTTCGTATATGAAAAAAATGCAATTGTAAGTCTTTAGCAGCAGTTATTCCAGACACAATAGATATTAATTTACCACAGATGATAACAATAAAATATTAAGAACTATTTTAGTATGTTATAATAACAAGTTAGTTCAAATCAAGCATATTATGATCAATACAAAATGATATAAAAGTATAACGATATTATGTAAAGCAACAGATGAAAAATAGTTTTTAAAAAATAAAGCTGAACATAAATTTGCTAACGATTAACAAATTACAAAGAGATGGGTGTATTTACAATAGGGAGAGAATCCATACAAATGCTGCCAGGTTTTCCTCTCTTCAATATGAATGATTAAAAAAAATCATAATAGTATTCCAAAGGTATGAAGCATACCACCTGTCTATAAGATCTGGAATTGGAAAGGGCATTATTCTTTTTTTTTTATAGTATGAGCACTACACTTCTCAAACTACTAAATTGCAGTTTTAGACAGATATGATTACATTTAATACCTATCATGAGGAGGGGGGCAAACTAGGTCCTGAAATGTAGTCAAATACCAACCGCTCCTCCACCCCCCCCCCCCCGCCTCACCCCACACACACGAACACATACACACATCGATAAACGAACCAACCACCCTTCCAAATAGTTCTTTGTATACTAAATTCATCGGCTTGAGCGACATGTTAGTTATCCCTGGTAAAAGGATACAAAAACACGTTAGGTCGCCAATGCGGCGCCCGGTGGCTAATTTTTTTTCCCAAACAGGTTTGCCAATGCTAATATATCCGGTCATCTGATTGGCTGATATGTTACGTCTTTAGCAATGACGTAACCGTTAGGGTGAGTGACAGGGTTATAGAAATCATGCAGAATTATTGTTCATCAACCCATCGTTGGCTCAATCGGTAAGGTCAGCGTAATACAATCTCAGAGTTGTGGGCTCAAGTCTCAGTTTATTCAATTTTTTTGCCTTTATAAATAGTAAGGCAAAGCAATAAAAAATCAAAGTCTAATTGTTTGTGACCTCTTTACAAGCTGCTAATGACGTAGAACATATCAGCCATTGAGAAGAACGGAAATATTAGAAATTGCAAACCTGTTTGGGAATAAAAATTTCGCCGCCCGGTGGGGGAGTTTATCCTTATGGGTGAGTAAACACTACATAGAAGAAGCATTAGCTCTACATAAATACATCATCAACCATTTCAAACCCTAATCCAAATTAATATTATTTTCAAAACATGGCTTACTATATTGCAGTAAGATCCTTCCCATCCTGAGTGACAAACCCTAGCTCCAGTAGTATCATTACAATCATAGTGGCCTTCATAGTTGTCTCTCGCTAAACAATAGGTGCTGCAGCCTGAAGGTGTTTTGTAGTAATGCACATCGCAGTAAACCTTAACTGCAACGATCAACCTAACAAAAAGAATAAAAAGAACAAAATCTTTAGCTTTCCTATTTGAAAATGCTGTTCTTTTCTAAATATCAGTTCTGAAGAAGCATGCTTTGTTTTATGCATGTTTTATGTTTTATAGTGCATGATTAAACTAATTACAGATATCATAAACACAATCATAAATCAAATCATGTATTATTTGGAGTTGGATATTGAATCATCCTTACAACCAACATATCTTTTCTAAAACGTAAATTGCATGAAAGTTTTACATAGATGCAAAGCTGATTTTTTACTACTCGTTAGTCTTGTTTGGATGTTTTCTAGTACATGAAGTTTGATCATGGACAGATGAATGGCATTTCGTCTGCAAACTTCACCTTTGATTGTATATACATGTTATGTTAATATGATCTTCAAAATATACCATTAGGATTCTAATTCACACCAAGCTTGGCAAGCTATATTCACGATCTATTAATAGACGCCTGTTCGTATATAGTAACAGATCGGCACATCAGCATCTTATTCAGATTCCAAGTTACCTTTGCAGTTGAAAACTATGATATCATTAGAGAGTTCCGAATCCAATCTATTTTTCCCTTGTGTACCTCAGAATAGAAGTTCTAGAAAGATGGCGCAATAAAAATGCCTAGTACCACAAAATTAATAATCTCAAAGACGAATACAGTTGGTGTATTTGAAGATGGGCACTACAAGTTGAGTTCACTTACAGAGTTGTTCCTTCTGTAGTCAGGTTTACGACGTGTTCTGTTGCCAAAGATGATGTTCCATCGGGACTATACTTGTGATTGTAGAGGTAATCAGCAATTTCGTCGTCTGGATAAGGCGCTTGAGCATAACCCCAAACTTCAATCTTGGACCTGAATCCAGTCTATAGAAGATACGAAATGAACAGATTGAAGATGACTACAACAACCCTGTATAAGCAGACACGGCTGTCCCCCCCCCCCCCCGAAAATGTTAAAATAGCAATACCCGGGCAACCGTCACCTTGCGTATTACGGCAACGAGTTTGGCTGAATATTTATATATTATATGTGATGGCGAAGTCTTTCTTACCATAATAAACTTCATTGCTTTTCTTTGCTCACTCCCTTCGCCTGCTTGCGAAATCTAGAAACTGGAAAGTAGATATTCGGGCTAGCCCCTGTGGCGAAAATATCCCGTGCAAGCTGTATGGATTATGATTTAGGCATGGGCAGGCATTTGTATCGGTGACCATAATGGTATTAATTCCCCCCCTAAGGGAGTGGAGACAGGGGCGTCGCCAAAGGGGGGGGGGGGTGTGGGGGTGCGACACCCCCCCCCCCCCACCTGTCAGGATATTGTCGGTAAAATTGCGCTGCCGTCGGGAAAAAGAGAAAAGGGGGAGGGAAAAAAAGAAAGGGAAAAAAAGAGAGGGAAAAAAAAGAGAGGGAAAAAAAGAGAGGGAAAAAAGAGAGGGAAAAAAAGAGAGGGAAAAAAGAGAGGGAAAGGGAAGAAAAGAAAAAAAGAAAAGGAAAAGAAAAGAAAAAAAGAAAAAGAAAGGAAAGGAAGGAAAAGAAAGGAAAGAAAAGAGAAGAAAGAAAGAGAAAAAAAAACGAGGGAGGAGAGAAAAGAAAGGAAAAGAAAAAAAAAGTGAAAGGGAAACAAAAGAAA